GTCATCCTCCTGCGTCTGCAATAAGGGCATTCAGCTCGTGTGTCATGTTTTGGCAGAGGCAATAGCATGGCTCTGATTGCAAAGAATAAGGAAAGAAAGTTCAGTGGTTGGGGAAGTAGTCCAGTGAGTGGTGACTGAGCAGTGTTTTCACAGACTGATGTTCCTTTGCGTACTGTCCCTGTAAGATTATCAACATCTCTGGCTGCAGCAGTGCGTGTGTGTGAGAACATTTGCTGACAGTGCACAATTTATCTCAACACTTGATTTTCTGGAGGTGAATGATGGCATTGCACTGGAACGTGCTCAACACTTTGATCAGGGATAGCATTGTTCTATGGCTGAAAGCATCTTCCTGTGCTGCTTTTGACCATTGGGCACTTCTTCCTGCTGTCTTCCTTGTAACCAGTACAGTTGTTTTTACGGTCACAGTGTGAACTCTAGCAAAGAATTGATGTGGCTGAACTTCTTTTCATCTGGAGATGCTCTTTTCAGCTGATCAGTTCCTGATCTGGTTCCCCAAGCAGCTGCCAGGGTACAATGGTGTAATGGTAGAAGTGACTGCCATAGGAAATGTGGCATGTTTAGTTTATAATGTATTGTGATTTCAGCTAATGCTTTAGATTGATATAATGAATTTCATGAAGTTTAACTGAACTGTGGACTGCTTCAAATGTAGATATTCTGGTTTCTGCCTCCTTTCCTCCCTTCCCCTATCTTACGGTGCTTTCCTGCCTGTTTTCTTTCAGATATGCTAGTCTTGCCAGTACTAAGTCAGACTAGCTCATGGGTGCAACAGAAAGCTAACAATACAAACACTCTTGTTTTCTTTTGGATCAATGAATTTTTGCAACTTGTCATTTGGTTCCATGATCACAAGGCAGGAAAGGAGAACAACCACATCTTTTAAGTATTATTCTGCAATTGGCTTATACTGCTGACAGGGAGAAAATCCTGTTTCTGGGTTACAACTGAGGACTCCTGAGCGTGGGAGGATCATGTCCTACCTTATTTTGAACTACAGTGAGATATTTATTACAGTTGTTGTTATTTGACTTGTTTAGTGGTGAAATTCTTTTCCTGTGACTACAGAAAAGCAAGGTAGGATTCCATGGTTTGCAGTGAGCAGGTTTTACCCAGAGGAACAAGACAGTTGCTGCATTTAAATTGGCAAAGATTTTTCTAAATCAAGTAAATTCTTTGGAACCATTACCTCTAGTGTAATTATTTTCAGATGGGTTTGTTAGTGTACAATCTTTTGTGTTGCTGGGGGTTTTGTGTTCCAACCTTCACGTTAACTTTTTCACTTCTGTAACTGCAGTCTTCCTACCCAGTAACAGCAAGAATCCTGAAGTCCTGCATTTTTGTCTATTTTTTGGTAACAGACTACCATGAGACCTTTGCTGAAGCATTTGCTTTTTCTCCCCAAAAGCTTCATGTCATCTGCTGTTGTTGATAGATGAGAAGTCTGTCTCACTGGCTTCCTTGAAATTTCTCACTTTTTGTTCTCTCTTGATCTTTGCTGTTTTGACAGCACCACAAGTTCTGTGTCAGAAGTGTACTCCAACATTTTTGTTGAAACTGAATCTGATACTCTGTCTTCCCATAAGCTTCTGGTAATACCCAGATTAGAATAAACTGTGAATTTATCTCCAAATAGTACTTAGTAATACTCTGAGGTGACACTAGGCTAGCGTTTCAGTTTTCTGAAGCTTTTAAGTTGTATAGTATTTATATAGTATTCTCCCTTTTTAGAAAGGCCTTCACTTGTGGGGTTTTTTGTGGTTTTTTTTTTTACTGCTTAGTTTTGTTGATCTGATATGCTTCTAACATTCAATAAGAAAACTACATGGATTGTAAGCACCAAAATGACTGTCATAAGAGGAGTCATTAAAAAAACCCCAACACCCTGATACTGTGATATTCACTGCATTTGAACCGTTTGGAAAAAGCCGTCTATGTGGAAAGGTTATAGTATATGGAAAGATTCTGCTAAATCACAAAAATAGACCTACCAGGCTGAAATGTTATTATTTTGCTGAGTGGTACTATTACTCATCCTGATTTAGGGAATAAAAGCATAAACAGGGTCTGAGTAGTTGTGAGGTTGCTATATTAATGTGTATTTGGTGGTGGATACAACAAATGATAATGCAGTAGCCTCCTGCTGCCTTCTCTCCTCAATGTTTTTGGCATTTTTTTTTTTCCTGTATGCTGTACCTGGATGGCTGTCAGAATAGTAAGAAATATTCCCTCAGGAAAGTCCTACCCGTTTTCCTGTCTCTACATAATCCATCTTG